TTTCGAAATGAAATATATATTATGTTATGACATTCATAGTGTCCATCGAGTTCACAACTACTTCATTAAGGGCATTATTCGGCCATATAAAATTATTAATAAAATCAAAACTTTTTAATATTAATGGACAATGCTTTAAATGCCATTTGGACCCATACTGACTTCGTACATAATTTATATCTAACAAAAGTAACCGTTGCTAATTCGTGTATCATGACCCCATGAATTGCATCATTCTTCCCTTTTCTTCAAAATGGCAAATATTTTCAAGCTTTTTCTTCATTTTTTTTTTCAAAACGAGCACAAAATGTACGCGCACTGCATTTAAAATTGTCACAAAATTTATTTTTAAAAAAGTGATCTATTTTGGGACAGATAGATGCCGACGACGTTTTATCAAATGACAATGGTTATTTCATTCGTATATTGATTCGATATATCTAAGAAAACTGATACACATGAAACCATAAATATGCCACATCTGTTTCATATTTGAATGCTTAAGGTATGTCACTTGTCAACTTTTGAAAAAAAGTTTGATCTTTTTGGATTTATATTAGCATATATATAAATCGAGATCTAATTGTTAACAGTTCATTGCTAGAACTCATTACAACTAGGAAATAGCTCTCCAATGAAACGTAAAACTTAATATACATAATTTAATGGGTTCTCAAATTGTTTCGACAAATTAATTGATTACATACCAAAATAATATTATTTCCATCTTTATTTATGAAAAGTGCAGCACTACTTTAAAAAAATTGTCTTGTTAGCTCACCTGAGCTGAAAGCTCAAGTGAGCTTTTCTGATCACATTTTGTCCGGCGTCCGTCTGTATGTCTGTCTGTAAACTTTTCACATTTTCAACTTCTTCTCAAGAACCACTGGGCCATTTTCAACCAAACTTGCCACAAAGTATCCTTGGATAAAGGGGATTCAAGTTTGTTCAAATGAAGGGCCACGCCCTCTTTCAAGGGGAGATAATTAGGAATTACTGAAAAAATAATGGAATCATTTAAAAATCTTCTTCTCAAGAACCAAAGGACCAGGAAAAATGAAACTCATGTGGAAGCATCCTTAGGTAGTGTAGATTCAAGTTTGTTCAAATCATGACCCCTGGGGGTAGGGCGGGGCCGCAATGGAGGATCAAAGTTTTACATAGAAATATATAGGAAAAATCTTTAAAAATCTTCTTCTCAAGAACAGCAAAGCCATGATGAGTCATATTTATATTGAAGCATCCTCAGGTAGTGTAGATTCAAGTTTGTTAAAACGATGACCCCCGGGGGTAGGGCGGGGCAGCAATGGAGGATCAAAGTTTTACATAGAAATATATAGGAAAAATCTTTAAAAATCTTCTTCTCAAGAACAGTAAAGCCATGATGAGTCAAATTCATGTGGAAGCATCCTCAGGTAGTGTAGATTCAAGTTTGTTCAAATCATGACCCCCGGGGGTAGGGCGGGGCCACAATGGAGGATCAAAGTTTTACATAGAAATATATAGGAAAAATCTCTAAAAATCTTCTTCTCAAGAACAGCAAAGCCATGATGAGTCATATTTATGTGGAAGCATCCTCAGGTAGTGTAGATTCAAGTTTGTTAAAAGCATGACCCCTGGGGGTAGGGCGGGGCCGCAATGGAGGATCAAAGTTTTACATAGAAATATGTAGGAAAAATCTTTAAAAATCTTCTTCTCAAGAACAGTAAAGCCATGATGAGTCATATTTATATGGAAGCATCCTCAGGTAGTGTAAATTCAAGTTTGTTCAAACCATGACCCCCAGGGGTAGGGCGGGGCCGCAATGGAGGATCAAAGTTTTACATAGAAATATGTAGGAAAAATCTTTAAAAATCTTCTTCTCAAGAACAGCAAAGCCATGATGAGTTATACTTATAGGGAAGCATCCTCAGGTAGTGTAGATTCAAGTTTGTTCAAACCATGACCCCCGGGGGTAGGGCGGGGCCGCAATGGAGGATCAAAGTTTTACATAGAAATATAAAGGAAAATTTCTTCTTCTGAAGAACTGCAAACCATTATTAGTCATTTTGATATGGTAGCATCTTCAGGTAGTGTAGATTCTATTTTGTTCAAATGATGACCCCCAGGGGTAGGGTGGGGCCCAATGGGGGATGGAAAGTTTTACATAAGAACATATAGAAGAAATATTTCTTCTCAAGAACAGTAAAGCTATGTTTAGTCATATTGATATGGAAGCATCCTCAGGTAGTGTAGATTCAAGTTTGTTCAAATGATGACTCCTGGGATAGGGAGGAGCCACAATGGGGGATCAAATTTTTACAAAGGAATATATGGGAAATTTTTTAAAATCTTCTCAAGTACAACAAAGCCATTTGTTACATTGACATGGAAGCATCATCAGGTAGTTTAAAATTCAACCCCACCCCCACCCCCACCCCAGTAATCTTTTCAATACTGAACTGATTTGTGCTTTTGCCTAGCCAATGTGCTCAGGTGAGCGATGTTGCCCATGGGCCTCTTGTTTTTAATGATAGATATTTCTTATATTTATTGTATTTTAAACTCAATGAAATTTTCACAGATACAAGATGCAGATAATATCATTAACTGATGGTGTCAATTAAACTTAAGGAAAAAACAGGTGACCCCATTTTGGCCCTTGGTTTGGGGTGTCTCTAAAAACGATCAACAGTTCGTAATCAAAAACCTGTAGTCATCACTGTTATGAGTATTAGTTTTAAGTGATACTAGGATACACAGAGCTCACAAGTAGGTCACAAAATGTATCATTTTCCGAATTTTCTCATTTTTATTTATATGGACCCTTTATTTCAGAAAACACAAAGCACATGCTTGCCTATCTACCAGATTAATTTTTTTCATGCACAGGTATCAGATACATTTTGTGTATAAAAAAAAAATCAGGCAAGCTTTTGCTCTGTTCCCTCTCGAATTTGACGAAATTCCATCAAAATTAATATTGAATAAATTTGGTAAATGTCCTACTTTCTCACTCTCTTGTTGTTTGAATCAAATTAGTGCTGGTAAAACTAGCATTATTTAAAGTTTCTCAATGCAGTCGATCACAATTTTAACTGTGATTCGGTTTTATTTCAAATACATGTTGTGGACCAAATTCGACCATAACCATACCTCCCTTTATAGTAGTAGTTTAGTCAGTCAAACTAATTATTTTTTCCTCGAAAATAAGGATAAACTAGATTCAACCTTATACATACATCCCAACAAAAGATAGAGAGCGGAAACTGAAAATTTCGTATTTTTTTTCTAACTTCAAGAGGGCACATGCACATGCAATTTCAACCTTATACATACATCCCTACAAAAGTTAGAGAGAGAGGAATCTGAAAATTTCCTATCTTTTTCTAAGTTCAAGATTGATAACTCTGTCAAAAATCATCATCAAATCATCATCAAGACCATGACCAAATTCGTTTTTGGTAAAATACCTACATATGCAATTCCAACCAGCCACGAATACCACCGCAGGTAGCCATTTTTAATCTTTTCCAAGTTCAAGGGGGATAAGTAACAGAAATCATCGGACCATGACCAAATTCAAACCTGTCCTTTTTTTTTTTTTTTTTTTTTTTTTTTTTTGGTGGTAAAATACCTGCACATGCAATTCCAACCTTATACATATATCCCTACAAAAGTTAGCGAGTGGAAACCAATATCGCTTTTTATTGTTTCTTTGTAATATAGGCTAATGTCTGGTGAAAACATTTTATCAAACTGTGGAGGTTTGTTTTGATTTCGTGCATTTTTGAAATCTCTTGAGTTCTGTATCGAAATGTGGAGTGATATTTTCTTTTAAGCGATATTGGTGAGAACTAGAGACAGTGTGCTATTATTAAGTTGTGAGTTTGACATTAATTAGACAGATTAGATTAATTGAGAAGCATTCCCAGGAAGTGTAAATCGACGATCAAATATTTTATCAAAGTTTTACATGGGAGTAAATACAATGTAAGAAATAATCTTTTAAAATCTTGTAAAGGGGAACAAGGTGATGATTAGTTACGGGTGTATTTTCATACGCAAGCAGCTTCGGGTAGTGCAGAACCCTCTTTATAGCATTGGACCATGACAGTTGATCAAAGTTTTAGATGGAAATTTATACAGGAAATTAAAATCAAAATCACTGCAAAGCGCTAATCAATGTTTAATTGTAAAAAAATAAATAAATAAATAAATGCAAAGTTTTGGGTATTACAAAAAGCGCTTATGTTTCAGTTTGTGAATGTGTGCGATTTGTATTCGTGGGATTTTTTTTTATCAAAGCGATATGACACTGCGAGCTTTATCCCATGAACCTTTTTTCTTTTGTTATCATTACGGTTATGTAAATATTTAACTTTGAATGTCTAGGTTAATTAAAAACGTTGATGTGTAAAAGAAGTTTTAAAAAAAAAAACATGAATATCAACCAACCAGAACTAAATATTCTGAATTCTTGGATGTAAAAGAAAAACTGAAAGAAGATTAGAAAATATTTGAAAATTTGAGCATTATAAGAAAACTAAAACAGCTGTAAGCAAGAGCAAAAAACTGGAAATACTGGCACCGTTTACAGAAAGGTTAAAACTTTATTGAAGTGTCAGTGACTCGCAAATTAATTTCAATTAATAATGAAAGTTTTCTTTTTGTGAAAAAAAGATTATTTTCAAGAGATTGAAATTGGATTGGTATAAAGGGTTTACACTTAGATAATGAAAACATTTCTTTCAGAGTAGATACCAACGTTTAAAAAATAGAGTGGGCATACTAGTATATCATTTTCATCAACTGGTGAAATATCACTTTTCCTTCTTATGTATCTGAAAAATGAATTGAACTTGGCCGGGTAATGCTTCACCAATAAAAGAAATATTTCCTAAATCTCCAGAAAATTTGCAGAGTTTGATGTTTTCTGTTTAATTCTATGATGATTTGGTATATTCCTAATCCCCATTAGTGCCACAGTATTGAAAATAACAAAACGTTATACCATTTACCTGACTTAATCCGTCTGTCGGTGTGAGTGTCAAGGTATTACTGTACGTCAAGACTTCAGTGATCTGCTGATAAAAAAGGATTAGATCATAGAAATTCATCACAGACATAATTAAAAAAAAATATGAGATATCGACAGAATTTGAAAACTTCATTATCTTCGATTGCTACATTTACTGTCAGGATTAGACGACTCAAATATTGATTCCTTCTCTTTGGAAAGGATAAACTAAGTGTCAATATTAACTGCTGCACTGATTGTTATAATTATTTTTTGCTAAATGGTTTGTAGCTAGCTTTTCTTCTTTGACACTTATCCATGAACTTGAGCAAGCTATGAGAAAACCGTTCGTGTTTCTGTCTTTTCCGGTATTACTTAGATTGGGTAACTCATTTCACGACTGATTGGATTTTTTGCCGTCGATCCTTCCAGCGTTACTTCTCTGGTCAGCATTAGATGGTCTCTGTGCTCTTCGCATAGCTTTTACGAAAATATTTTAATGTACAAGGGAAACTGAACATAGCTCTGTGTGATACCGGTAAAACATGCCTGTATCTTATTGCATTGTGAAATGAAAACCAATCGATCTACAACCCATCGCTTGTCTACTCGTCCAGATGCAAGCAATGGTATCATGCCTCCGTTCATACTTTTTTGAAGCTTAATTTGATACTTGTAGCGATAACAAAAAAGACTTTCACCAACTCAAGCAAGCATTAAGGGACCCTCAAATACGAGATAAGGTTTTTTTTTGTCTCATCTCTAGAACCTATATGTTCAGAAGTCATGTACGTGCCAACCGTGATCAAGAAAACCTGCACTGTCGAATTCTTTCAAGGCTATTGAGAAAATAAAACATATTGTGTTTTCTTGCTTGATTTTTGTTTTCACGACCTTTGAATTATTTCTTGTGCAGTTCAAAGAAGGTCAAATAAACCTCCGAGTTTGTTCCCGAAGCAATTTGTTTCTTTTTCTTTATTGTATGGACTGACAGAAAAGTATGGTGTACATCAAGCAGTTAGCTGTCTTGGTGACATCAATAAGAAGTCCTCTAGTGACGTGTATTTGTCATATGAGCTTGACGATTGTACTGCAAGCAAGTTCCAATTATACCCTAGGGTGAATAAGCATGGCTCAAATACTACGGCTACAAACCGGTCATTTCTTATAATTGTCTGAACCAGTGACAGCATATATCTCTTACTGTTAATTTATACTGACTCGAGAGAGACGGCAAGGATATATGAAATGTAAAGTCAATAAACAATGAAAATGCAAGTATCAAAATTTCCTATGCTCTATGATTTATTTTTGCAATTACTTTAAATCTCTACAGAAATTCTTTTGCTTTGTCTGTTGTTTTCTTTACTCTAAAACGTGCAGGCACCTTCATTATAGTTTTAATTTCGGAACACAAAGAATCCATTTTGAATAAATAACAAGACACATTGCAAGTGCCAAAGAATGCTAACCAGTCAAAACGTGCAATCTTGTTAGTTAGGTTTAGAAATGATACGAGTTTTTATTTTCTTTTGCATGTTCTAAGAGTGAAGCAAGTCGTATTTGATGATATCGGTTGTCGATAAACATGAAACACGCGAATTTAAGTAAACATATGCTTAGATCGGTGCGGATTTTCCCTCCCTATTGCATGTTTCTGGTGTTTATAGAGATGAATACACAACAATCGGGAATGAACAAATTGCTCTCGTGGCGCCAAAGTGCGCGAAAATAGCAAGATAAAACGACCCAATCTCCACTTCTTTGATGCATAGTTTATCACAGAGAGAATTACTCTATTGTCGTAGTTTTTCTTTATTTATCGTCAGAATGAAGTGAAGGAAGAAAGGGAGGAGTCTGAAAAGCTAATCACGATCCAAATTCTTAAAAAAAAACAGATAATTCCCATCCGTGTGGTGACAGGGGTTATTGTTTTGCTCTCTCAATACAACAAAGAGAAAGGTAACAGATTATCAATAATTAGAATATAACGCTACTTCCGTATTCTCTGTGGATTGGAGGTCACATTGGGTGCTGCACTATTTTACCCAACACCAATCAACATTGTAAATGCTTTGCTGTTCAACATTGGAGCTTTGTTTTGTTTTTAAGCTAACAAAAGGAAACCAAAAAACGTGTAGAATAGTTTTTAAACAGAGAGCTCTGAAATACAAATGTTTTAGGCCTGAGGTTAGGATTCTGTTCGGAGAAATGCTGTCTTTCGTTCGTTTCAATTAACTCTGCATTTATATAAGCTTCGAGTGTTTTCAACGATCTAGCATTTAATGAATTCCTAAACCTGGTTTTATTACAAACTTTTTGGTAAGGGCAAAGTTTTCTTTACAGTGATCCCTCTGCGATAATGTGTGATTTTGTGGGAGATGAAGTCACTTGTAAATACTTTCTCTTCCCTGACCTAAAACAAAACCGAATAAACTCTATTGATCTTGCTTCGAAGAGTTACTGGAATAAAATATAATAGAACAGAAATGCTAAACGCATGAGAAAAAAAAAATACTGACATGCACAAACTGTAAAATACTTAAAATTCTACAATATTTAAATTCCAGGGCGACCTATCATTGCCTGACCACATCCAAAGAACATTAACGGACACTTTCTCCGATAGAGGTCACTATAATAACTATCAGAAATAATGTCCGAAAACGCTCCATCGGAGTTGACAGATCACATGATTTGCAACAATCAATCACTTTCCATCCGTAATATGACGTCATTGTACCTGGAAATTGGGGAATTGAAAACACATACCGGAAGTACAAACTGACATCTATCCACTGTCAACCCCGACAACTCATACAGAGAGGGGTCAAACAACGATAGGTACCGTCTTACAGAAACAAAAAGCATGCGTGACATTGAAAGTGAGGCTAACAGCTATTAACAAACATGGAAAATCAACTACACTTGTTTGAGAGGGGAAAACATGCCATGACCTTGCAATCTCTTTGGCTAACATGCAAATTTTACAATGGAAACAGGAGGTAGTCGGGTACTCCAAATTTATAGGGGAGGGGGATCACAACTTTAATTATAATTCCAAAAAGAGATTTATCCGAATAAACAGAATCAACTGATTCTGTAAAATGTAATATAAAAATAAATGAGTTGAAAATAATTTAAGCTTTCATTAAATTTACATGATAAAGTCGGTTTTGAAATTGGTGTCTAATGGTTTTAGATTAATGTTTTAGTAAGGAATAATTGGAAATTTACATGATGGATAGTTAATCTCTTGCTTGTGTATAACAAACATTGTGACACAGAGTAATGCTCTTTTGGCCTTCTAATAATCAAGGTCGCTGATGGGATTCACCAAGGGCAATTATTTGTTTTCGGTATATCAACAGTAATGCTCGATAAACTGTGAACAAAAAAGATCTACAATCAAAGATCAACATAATAATAGGTACGAAGGATTATGGGCTCCCAGTTTGTTATTAATGATAATAGTAGAAAGTATTTAATAGACGCATCTATCAATTACTGCTTCCTGCTTTCCTATAGAACTCTCGTTATTTATGTTTAATCCGTCGCCAAGTTTTACTTAAAGAAGAAAAAGCTAATCGTCGACAGAATCGATGGCTTTCGGAACAGATGAATGGTGTACTTAAAGGTTAAATCCTTCGGTAATCCATGAAAATCATTTATAAATAAAAACAGAGACTGGCAAACAATAATCAAAGCCTTAAATACTGGTTGCTCCTGAATAGGATATGACCAATTTAGCCATATAAAACATATTCTGTAGCCATGCACAAAGCTGCCTCGGTGAACAGAGCGCAAAAATTGACCTATTACTTCTGTTTCCTATTTTCCTATCGTGTAAGGTCTGTTTTCTTGAATGAAAGGACCTTTCACTTATAAACTGCGTTATGTGTCCATTTTTATTCCACCCAAAGCTTATAATTGAACGATTCTTCCTGAATGTTATGCACAACCTGCAAATTTTAATATAGCTACTTCTTATCTCAAAGTTTTTGTACCTGTTTGTCCACGGATTTATATTTTCATTTTCATTTTTAACCCACATAGCACTTCGATTAACCATATTCGCCAAGGAATCCATTAAAACATCGAACGAGATTTCCTTGTCGGAAACGCGTGGTATCAATATGCAAAATTTTGCGGGTTTGGTTATTAACAATAAAACATATGTCGTCAAATTAAGCAAAGCTAATCAGGAGAAAATAGTGTTAAACTCAGCGGAATTAGTTTCTGTGGTATTGATTGACTTCCTCGGGGTGTCCTTCGGCAAAAATCAGAAATGATGAGCGTCGCCACTCGAGCACTCCTAACTGTGTTTGGGGTTTACAATTGTCGTAATAGTCGTTGTTCAGATTTTAATGCTTATTTTCTTTTCTCAGAAGGAAACTAATGCGTTGTTAATGTGTAGGAGAGACAAAATCAATAACAGACAAGAATCTTGTAAGGTTTATAAAATTTCTTTATTTCCTCATTAATATACTTTATCTGATAATATCTAGTGTTTTAATTTTTCCTACCGTTGTACTTAAAGAATATGAAAATATTCATGCATATTTATTTTCAACTGATATTTCATTTTGAATGCATCCTTAAAATTCTCTATAAGATCATTGTATCTTCTAAGTGTTAAAGCAGTATCTATAATATTATAGCTCTTTGCAAAATTGGATATGTCACATATCACTACCGAGAAAAAGCCTTTGCAGATCACGTGTTCGAAGAAAGCAAGTTTACGCTTGACGTTTATCTGACGTCTGTCAACCATTGGCTCTCTTTTCCTCCTTATTGTCAATTTATAGCTTAAAGCTGAGATAACACCGTTAAACCTAGAAAATCAATCGGGGTATTTTCTTAAAATAATGGAAGTTTTTTCAATGATTAGTCCTTTAACTAGATCTAGGCTTCCCTATGAAGGAATTTAGCCACCGTCGATAAGAATGTAATTCCAATTACAGGCTATTTAATGAAGCTTCAGTGCAGTACTATCGAGGCAGAAAAACAACAGCTTTGCGGGAAAGCTTTCTCTGTGATTGATGTTAGCTTTATGGTAATGTG